ACATAACAAGTAAATTATATCAAAATTAATGCTAAGTAAATAAGAATACCTCAACCAATGATAGTTATTTAAATACTAACTTATTTTGCACTCTATTTAGATTGACAACACGTCGCATTGTCTCTTCCGATCCTTTTGGAAGAAATCGAATAGTAGAATATCTCAAGATATTATTGTCTAAGAACTGTTTTCTATAAATACAATATAAACATTAATTACTAAGTATTAAAGTACGTATTAAAGATGTGTATTTTCAATAATGAATTTAAATACTTTGAGAACTCCTCAAAAGTATTTATTGGCAAAGATTCTATATTGTATTTTCAATTCATAACCAGATATCTTTACGATAGTAAAACACGCGATTCTTGTATTTTGCATTGGTGGTTATATAGAAATTAGCCTGAGCAATATAAATGCTATAAAATAAATTTAATGATCAAAAATTTGAATCTGAGAAGTACTAATAATTTGAATTCTCTTACTTGAAGTAGCGGGATAACAAAGCAATCAAATATCTATTAGATAAATTCATATAATATTTTGGATCTCTTATCAGCTTTGACTTTGTTATTTTTATTGTCCTACGCAAAGAACCACTTGCACTGCTTAATCTTAAATTCAATAATAAATAATATTTAGAACTATGTAGTAAGATATGTATATGTAAATACTTTGAATTTATTCAAAACATAGTGTAGCGAGAGTTCTTCATAATACCTAAGCGCGATGAACTTTTCTACAGCTAATATTAAAACAATAATAATAATAATACGTAATAATAATAAGGATAATTCAAATATTACGTATCAGTATTTGTTTTATATTTAGCAAATACTGTATATTAGATTATTTATTTCTTAAAAAAAAAATAAACAAACCTGAATCTTAATAATGCGATTTTGATACAATTGAAATAATGATTGCACGCTTGGTTGCTTATTCTTTCATGATCAAACACGTTGTGAAGACCAAATTGCTTTGGAAAAATATGTTGAATAATGTCTCTTGGAATTTTGGTATTATTTAAAAATATCTGTAAAATATTAATATATATAAATAATCAATAAAACATCAGGTAATTATTTCTGCTTTTTAATTACTTACTATGTTTAGGCAATCCAAACCTGACAGATCCATTAGCATTGTAAGCTGTAGAGTGGAAAACATTTTGAATCTGTTAAATATAAGATTCACAGATATCAGATCCAAATCCTTCTGTGGTGTAGATTTATCAATAACTTTTCTTCTTTCGATCTGAGATTATAATATGTGTAATGTTTTTACAAAATCTACTTTTTCTCTCCAAAATTTAGTCGGCATATTTACCAATAAACGGCAACACCTGCGAACAACAATAAAAACAAAAAAAACTAATTAATATAATTTTTTTTTTTTTTTTTTTAAAAAAAAAAAAAACTCATCTAAAATTTAAATAAAAAAAAACTTATCTTTATTTTATCTAATAAATTTTCTTAAGCTGATTTTGGCCGAATTTTCATTCTAAATTTTTTATAGAAAATTTGTTCACCTGATCACTACATTGAGGTATCAGCAATAGATCAGGAAAAAAATATATATAGCTTTCATGTAAGAAAACACCAGGTTAAGCAAGATTAATTCTTTATAAACCTAATGAATTTCTTACATATAACTATGTAGCAGTGAATCTAGTCTAAACCCTAATAAGAAATTGTTGCACCCAATAATAGTTTCTTTTTTGATAAAATCTATTAAAACGTCAAATTAAAATAAAAAAAAATAATTTTACTAAACAAAAAAGCCTTAAATTAAGTCCTCAGATTTATATCTTTACCAAAGCACCTGCTCATTTAGTCAGGTGGTTAGTGCAGAATACTGGATTTACAACTAATACCAGAGCACCCGCTCATCTAGTCAGGTGGTTAGTATAGAATACAAAAGGCTTAACCTAGTTATTAGATTTACATCTTTGTCAGAGCACCTGCTCGTCCAATTGGATGATTAGTGCCGAATACTGCAAACTGAAAGAACTTCTTTGACGTAAAAGGGTTAGGGTTAATTAGTGCAATGTCTTGAAAGCTCAAGGGTTAGAAGATTGTACTGTAACGTCCAATATTAGGGCAAGATTAGAGTAATAGCAAATTTGCTTATCTGTTTATAAATTACTAAAGCGATGTCAAGCTTTTGTTGCTTTTTTGATATATTTAGAGTAAGTGGTTTATGGAAATATCAAGAATACAATTTATGCAATATGTAGATTAATATATAATTAGACACAATCCCTGGTTTGATATGGGGTTTCATATATTAGAATATGATTGGATAGTCAAAACTCAAATATCGAAATTTAGAAGTTCATTTAATTTCTTGCTACGTATGTATTAGTTTTTTTTTTTTTTTTTTAACAATATATTCGAAAAACAAAGTTATGAGTGTTTATTATCTAAATATCTCTACCTTATATGAATTTCTTATTACGCATTGCGGTAACGAAATTAAATTGATTCAGAAGGATAATGAAAAAGATTATACAAGCTTACTAAAAACCTCACTTATAAATGATACCAAACAGTCTTTCCCATGTTACTTGTTACAAAGTGTTTCAGAAAAAGAATATGTATACAGAAGTATACTTTAGCTACTAAATTTGCTAAATGAAGATAGTTTGTTAAAAAACTAATCTAAAAGTTTACCAGTAGGTGGTTAATAATGCTATTATATGCCTCGAGCCGAAAGAAACAACCTAACATTTTATCGCTTGGCTTTAATAATGTTAGTATAAAATTTTCAAATATGTATATCATATATAGAAGATATTTAAATATCAATTTGTCAATAATCCTTGATTGCAAACTGTGATTAGATACCAAATCAATACGGTGTTATAGTAGAATACGAAAACAAATGCACAGATTATATTAGACGCTTACTAGCATTAAAAAAGCTTTATTCTAGGTAAATAGTCTGATCTGATTACAATAAAATAAACCTATAAAGTGTATAAGGTTGAATAGTATACGTAGTATGTTGTAGGCTTGGTAAGAAAGCAATAACTTATTTATTGAATATTTATTTATCTTTAAATAATTCTTATCTTCAAATAACTGATAAAAAAGTACAACTTTCTAACTATAACAAATTATACATATAAATTTATAATTAAATTTATTTATTATCAATTAGATATTGCAATTAATGAATTATCTAAACCGATTATTGATCTTCAAAAGTTCAAATATTACGTATCAAAAATTTCTAAAAAATTCCATCTCATGAAGTCTTTGAAGAAGTGTCATTTCAAGAAACTTTTAAAGGAGAACGAACTTTTGAAAAGGTGCTATCTCAGAAAACTTTTGAAGAAACAACACCTCAAGATTTGTATATAGACTTACAGTATGAATCTAAAATTTTCATCTCAGATTTGGAAATCTTGAATGATGATATTATTTTAAGAAACCTTTAAAGGAAAAGGAATTTTTAAAGGATTGTCATTTCAGGAAACTTTTATACGTAGAGAACATGCTGCAAGATATGTATATAGATTGGAAAAGTTTGAACAATGTGATGTCATCTCAAGAAATCTTTAAAGGGGACCCGATTTTTGAAAAGGTATAATCTCAGGAAACTTTTACAGAAATGATACCACAAGATTTGTATATGGACGTACATGAGTCTAAAATTTTCATTCTAGATCTAGAAAATTTAGATGATAAGAAATATTCACCAAAAGTAACGGTAAGTCTTATATATAATAGGTATTGTAATGATTATAGAAATGATTTTAGAAGTAACGTTCTATGGTTATATTTTATTGATTGAATCAATAATATTTACTGGTTAGCCAAAAAAGCGGACTTTAGATAATTCCTTATTCACAAGATAAAGAAATTTCTAAATTCAACTTTTACATTTTTTTTTTGGTTGTTGTTGATCCTAACAGGTGCAAAATGCTTCTACAGATGATACATAGCTCTTATATTCAGGATTTCACCTTTAATTCGAATCTATATCAGGTATGATGAATAATCTTATGATTTGATATTTATATTTTTTAATACGTATTATTATTATTATTATTATTATTATTATTATTATTATTATTATTATTATTATTTTAATATTAGCTGTAGAAAAGTTCATCGCATATAGGTATTATGAAGAACTCTCGCTACACTATGTTTTGGATAAATTTAAAGTATATAGAGTTTATCTGTTACGTATTTTATTATCCATATATCATACTATATAGTTCTAAATATTATTTATTTTATATTGAATTTAAGATCAAGCAGTGCAAGTGGCTTTTTGTGGAGGTAATAAAAATAACAAAGTTGAAGCTGATAAGAGATCCAAACTATTATATGAATTTATTTGGTGGATATTTGATTGCTTTGTTACTCCACTGCTTCAAGTAAGAGAATTTGAATTTTTAATACTTCTCAGATTCAAATTTCTTGTCACTAAATTTATTTTATAGTATTCATACTTCTCAGACTAATTTCTATATAACTACTAATACAAATACAAGAACCGCATGTTTTACTACCATAAAGATACTTGGTTATAGATTGAAAAATATAATTTGGAATCTTTGTAAGATTATACTTCGCAAAAGTGGATGTTTAATGTTGTTTTGAATCCATTGATCAAGAACGAGTTTTGGAAATAGTTAAAGATATATTAAAAGAAGTATGTCTATTTTTTTTAATATGTATACGTATCCATTATTTGAGAAAAAGTAAATAATATTTCTCTTTTTTAGAGTTATTATGCAATTTATAAATATGATGTAGTTTGCCAGAAGGGCAGTACAATCTGTTCGTTTTATAAATATTATGCTGACTCAACAGGTAATACTAGATTAACTAGTTTTGCAATAATTTTTTAATCATTGCACTTACTTTTCTATTGTTTGCATTAATGATATAAATTATACGTATAGACGATTTTTCTAATTTTCCAACCTTTGCAAGAGAATTGGCACAAAAGATACCAAATTCAGTTTTTATTAACCGCATTAAAGAATCGTATTTAGATAGGAAGGTTATACTTGATCTCTTAGAAAAGCATATCAAGTATAATTTAATAAAAGTATGATTCCGAAACTGCTTTATTATAGGAGTGCTGTCAAGGGAAAATCCATATTCAACTTTGGATTATATTTTGTACCAGACATGATTTATCTAATTTATTAGGGGTTGTTTCTAATACAAATATAATTGAAAATCTGTAATGCTTTATCTTGGCAGCACTCGTTTCCTATAATTTGCAATACGTATAAAATGCAATATGCTATGTTTTTTAATAGATTGGAGACAAGTATTATAGATAGTGTACTGGTATTTCATAAGAGTCAGTTGTATCGATACTGCTTTGTAGGTTCGTATTGATACAATTGATAATTGGATATTTATATATTGATGACTTATAATCGTTTAATACATAGCTTTTATTATAGTAACATAGAATGGGAAGTGCTTTCTTTTGTGAAGTATGATGATAGCATAAGTGAATATATCGATTTCGAAGGGTTAATGTTCTTGGCTAAAAATTAAATTTATAGCTCATGCTACAGTTTCTTGACGATTTTCTATACATAAGTACAGACAAAGAAAAGATTGAAAGATTTGTAACCACAATGCATAAAGGTAATAATTGTGATATGTATATGTATTTTGAATAAGGTAAGATTTTATTAAATATGTATGTATTTTATTTTAGGTCATCCAAAATATGTGTGTTGTTAAAAGCGAAAGAGCCTAATAAACTTTGATATTATTGTTGATGGGAAGCTGACAGAGAAATTGAGTAATACGTATAGTAGATCTAATATTTATCTGATTAAGTAATTTTAACAGATTTTTAACTTAATTGAAAATGTTCTTTAGATTTTCCATGGTGTAGAATCTTAATTCATACGACTACATTGAATTGTAAAGTTGATTATACGTATGTGATATTGATACATATACGTAGCTTTTTATATAGATTTTTCTATTTCGTTATTCGGTATAACTTATACATATATCTCACTACTTATGTATTTTGATAAAACTATGTAAATATTGCAGATAATTTAACTACATCATTTGATTTATTATTTTTAAATGCATATATATATCTAAATTATATTTTCAATTCAGCATTGTTATCAAGAACTGTCATCCAATATCTAATACTTATCGTTTAACATTAGAGTGATCATATTTACCAAAATTTTCGTTGACGAATATGAAATTTCATCACCATAAGTATCAAAGGTTTACTGTTGCAAAATAACTTAAGAAATAAAGATTTTTAAATACATAGTTGTTAATTCCTGTTTGATTATATTTAAAATTTTGATTTTAAGACTGAAGTGTAAAGTTCAAATCATTTATCATTAATAGTATTTTTGTAGATATAGTCTATAATACAATTTGGAGTGTATATGTATCAAGTATTGATTAATAAGTCTCAATTTCAAATGGTTGTTGAATCTTGGTTTTGCATATTCTGGCATATATATATATATAATTTTAATTTGTACTTTTTTTTTTTTTTTTTTGCTTAAAATATGTGTGTTATTATATTATTTATATATAGGTTAGGCATGTATTTATTTTATCATATACCTTTTCAGAAGCAGTTATATTATAAATTACTTTTGGAGTATTTGAAGTTTAAAATTTTTGAACTTTACACTTCAGTCTTAAAATCAAAATTTTAAATATAATCAAACAGGAATTAACAACTATGTATTTAAAAATCTTTATTTCTTAAGTTATTTTGCAACAGTAAACCTTTGATACTTATGGTGATGAAATTTCATATTCGTCAACGAAAATTTTGGTAAATATGATCACTCTAATGTTAAACGATAAGTATTAGATATTGGATGACAGTTCTTGATAACAATGCTGAATTGAAAATATAATTTAGATATATATATGCATTTAAAAATAATAAATCAAATGATGTAGTTAAATTATCTGCAATATTTACATAGTTTTATCAAAATACATAAGTAGTGAGATATATGTATAAGTTATACCGAATAACGAAATAGAAAAATCTATATAAAAAGCTACGTATATGTATCAATATCACATACGTATAATCAACTTTACAATTCAATGTAGTCGTATGAATTAAGATTCTACACCATGGAAAATCTAAAGAACATTTTCAATTAAGTTAAAAATCTGTTAAAATTACTTAATCAGATAAATATTAGATCTACTATACGTATTACTCAATTTCTCTGTCAGCTTCCCATCAACAATAATATCAAAGTTTATTAGGCTCTTTCGCTTTTAACAACACACATATTTTGGATGACCTAAAATAAAATACATACATATTTAATAAAATCTTACCTTATTCAAAATACATATACATATCACAATTATTACCTTTATGCATTGTGGTTACAAATCTTTCAATCTTTTCTTTGTCTGTACTTATGTATAGAAAATCGTCAAGAAACTGTAGCATGAGCTATAAATTTAATTTTTAGCCAAGAACATTAACCCTTCGAAATCGATATATTCACTTATGCTATCATCATACTTCACAAAAGAAAGCACTTCCCATTCTATGTTACTATAATAAAAGCTATGTATTAAACGATTATAAGTCATCAATATATAAATATCCAATTATCAATTGTATCAATACGAACCTACAAAGCAGTATCGATACAACTGACTCTTATGAAATACCAGTACACTATCTATAATACTTGTCTCCAATCTATTAAAAAACATAGCATATTGCATTTTATACGTATTGCAAATTATAGGAAACGAGTGCTGCCAAGATAAAGCATTACAGATTTTCAATTATATTTGTATTAGAAACAACCCCTAATAAATTAGATAAATCATGTCTGGTACAAAATATAATCCAAAGTTGAATATGGATTTTCCCTTGACAGCACTCCTATAATAAAGCAGTTTCGGAATCATACTTTTATTAAATTATACTTGATATGCTTTTCTAAGAGATCAAGTATAACCTTCCTATCTAAATACGATTCTTTAATGCGGTTAATAAAAACTGAATTTGGTATCTTTTGTGCCAATTCTCTTGCAAAGGTTGGAAAATTAGAAAAATCGTCTATACGTATAATTTATATCATTAATGCAAACAATAGAAAAGTAAGTGCAATGATTAAAAAATTATTGCAAAACTAGTTAATCTAGTATTACCTGTTGAGTCAGCATAATATTTATAAAACGAACAGATTGTACTGCCCTTCTGGCAAACTACATCATATTTATAAATTGCATAATAACTCTAAAAAAGAGAAATATTATTTACTTTTTCTCAAATAATGGATACGTATACATATTAAAAAAAATAGACATACTTCTTTTAATATATCTTTAACTATTTCCAAAACTCGTTCTTGATCAATGGATTCAAAACAACATTAAACATCCACTTTTGCGAAGTATAATCTTACAAAGATTCCAAATTATATTTTTCAATCTATAACCAAGTATCTTTATGGTAGTAAAACATGCGGTTCTTGTATTTGTATTAGTAGTTATATAGAAATTAGTCTGAGAAGTATGAATACTATAAAATAAATTTAGTGACAAGAAATTTGAATCTGAGAAGTATTAAAAATTCAAATTCTCTTACTTGAAGCAGTGGAGTAACAAAGCAATCAAATATCCACCAAATAAATTCATATAATAGTTTGGATCTCTTATCAGCTTCAACTTTGTTATTTTTATTACCTCCACAAAAAGCCACTTGCACTGCTTGATCTTAAATTCAATATAAAATAAATAATATTTAGAACTATATAGTATGATATATGGATAATAAAATACGTAACAGATAAACTCTATATACTTTAAATTTATCCAAAACATAGTGTAGCGAGAGTTCTTCATAATACCTATATGCGATGAACTTTTCTACAGCTAATATTAAAATAATAATAATAATAATAATAATAATAATAATAATAATAATAATAATAATAATACGTATTAAAAAATATAAATATCAAATCATAAGATTATTCATCATACCTGATATAGATTCGAATTAAAGGTGAAATCCTGAATATAAGAGCTATGTATCATCTGTAGAAGCATTTTGCACCTGTTAGGATCAACAACAACCAAAAAAAAAATGTAAAAGTTGAATTTAGAAATTTCTTTATCTTGTGAATAAGGAATTATCTAAAGTCCGCTTTTTTGGCTAACCAGTAAATATTATTGATTCAATCAATAAAATATAACCATAGAACGTTACTTCTAAAATCATTTCTATAATCATTACAATACCTATTATATATAAGACTTACCGTTACTTTTGGTGAATATTTCTTATCATCTAAATTTTCTAGATCTAGAATGAAAATTTTAGACTCATGTACGTCCATATACAAATCTTGTGGTATCATTTCTGTAAAAGTTTCCTGAGATTATACCTTTTCAAAAATCGGGTCCCCTTTAAAGATTTCTTGAGATGACATCACATTGTTCAAACTTTTCCAATCTATATACATATCTTGCAGCATGTTCTCTACGTATAAAAGTTTCCTGAAATGACAATCCTTTAAAAATTCCTTTTCCTTTAAAGGTTTCTTAAAATAATATCATCATTCAAGATTTCCAAATCTGAGATGAAAATTTTAGATTCATACTGTAAGTCTATATACAAATCTTGAGGTGTTGTTTCTTCAAAAGTTTTCTGAGATAGCACCTTTTCAAAAGTTCGTTCTCCTTTAAAAGTTTCTTGAAATGACACTTCTTCAAAGACTTCATGAGATGGAATTTTTTAGAAATTTTTGATACGTAATATTTGAACTTTTGAAGATCAATAATCGGTTTAGATAATTCATTAATTGCAATATCTAATTGATAATAAATAAATTTAATTATAAATTTATATGTATAATTTGTTATAGTTAGAAAGTTGTACTTTTTTATCAGTTATTTGAAGATAAGAATTATTTAAAGATAAATAAATATTCAATAAATAAGTTATTGCTTTCTTACCAAGCCTACAACATACTACGTATACTATTCAACCTTATACACTTTATAGGTTTATTTTATTGTAATCAGATCAGACTATTTACCTAGAATAAAGCTTTTTTAATGCTAGTAAGCGTCTAATATAATCTGTGCATTTGTTTTCGTATTCTACTATAACACCGTATTGATTTGGTATCTAATCACAGTTTGCAATCAAGGATTATTGACAAATTGATATTTAAATATCTTCTATATATGATATACATATTTGAAAATTTTATACTAACATTATTAAAGCCAAGCGATAAAATGTTAGGTTGTTTCTTTCGGCTCGAGGCATATAATAGCATTATTAACCACCTACTGGTAAACTTTTAGATTAGTTTTTTAACAAACTATCTTCATTTAGCAAATTTAGTAGCTAAAGTATACTTCTGTATACATATTCTTTTTCTGAAACACTTTGTAACAAGTAACATGGGAAAGACTGTTTGGTATCATTTATAAGTGAGGTTTTTAGTAAGCTTGTATAATCTTTTTCATTATCCTTCTGAATCAATTTAATTTCGTTACCGCAATGCGTAATAAGAAATTCATATAAGGTAGAGATATTTAGATAATAAACACTCATAACTTTGTTTTTCGAATATATTGTTAAAAAAAAAAAAAAAAAACTAATACATACGTAGCAAGAAATTAAATGAACTTCTAAATTTCGATATTTGAGTTTTGACTATCCAATCATATTCTAATATATGAAACCC